AACCTTTCGCTGTGAAAGCCTGGAAGTCTGCATGAGCAGCAGATAGGCATACAGGTCCCTGCAGTTCTCTTGCAATGTTATTCCAGCTCCATCCTTATTTCCAAGCTTTGGCAAGTAATAGATTCCATAATCACACACTTACTGTATGTACCAAAATATTGAGAATCAGTCCTAGATCCACATCTCGAGGAGCTCTGCCTTCTACTTCAGTATTAGCCACCGAGCATATCTTCATGCTGTAGCTCCATAAATTAGCTCCTTCAATTTTTTACATTCATCTCCATTTCCTTCACTTTAAGTCTATTTTTTTCTCCATATCACATTTTTGAGTCTTTACCCAGAACGCCTGTTACACATGAGCCACACAAGAATTTTTGGTCTTCAAGGTGGATACAGACCCCAGATGCACTGAGTGGGAACAGAGCACTTCTTGACGCTGAGTTTCCAGCTCGCTGTCCTCCCTGCTTCCAGGGATGGGCCTTTGAGAAGCCTGCAATGCGAACAGAAGAAACCCTGAAATGAGTTGTTCTCACTTGGCTGAGTACATCATCCCGTGTTCCATTTGACATACCTCAAAGTAAAATAATGCCAAGCAGCTCTCCCAAAGTACTGCTATCAAGAGGATGGATGCTTTATTGGTTTTACTTGCTGTCCATCATGATAACATATGTCCTGATAAGCACAAATGTGTATAGATTTATAAGAACTGCTGCTTTTTGGCTTGACACAGGATCGCACTGATGTGCGGTGCTTTGGGAGTACCCAGGGTGGTACGGCAGCACGTTCAGCGTGAGCCTTAGAGGAGCAGCGGTAGCTGGGATTTGCACCTGGTAGCCATATATTATCTAGCTAATGAGCCAGTGAAGTGTTTAATCACCCTGCTGAGAAAATGAAACTTCTAAACAGGGTAAATCCACCCTGGGGCCGCTCAGAGCTACACCTGACAGGTATTGTCATCTTCTGCCTCTTGCGGTCCCACTGCCACGGTATCCTCTTTTGTTAACTCATGAGAGTCCTGCTGAGCTGGAAAACATTGGAAACCAATGCAATGTTAATTTAATTAGCTGCTCATTTGCATAAAGTGGGTTATTTTGCGTGTCAGCCTCCTGTGTTTAGAACTCTTTTGGAGAGAGCCCTACTTGGTCTTTTTAACATCCTTTGGGGGAAGAGGGCTCGACTCTTGTATAATTACATATTATAAGCAATACCTTGGAAAACAGTCACTGTTGTAGAGCATTTGCTGGAGAACTGGAAATACACTGCTCCGCTTAACGAAAATCTTCTCAGCTCCGTTTTAGTTATGAGCATTACGATTTGCCTGTTGGTTTTGAGTGCTAAAGGGCAAAAAGATGCACAAACTGAACTTACTATCCATCATTATGCCTTCTCATTAACAATATCCAGGAGGAAACATCTGTCTTTGTGCAGAAAAGTGGGTCTTTAAGTCCAATTACTACAATTAATGAGTTACATATGAGAAACATGAGTTTTAGCATGGGATTTAGAGGATTACAATAGCAACACACTCTGCATTTCACATGAGCTCCTCACCACCACATCAAATATTTGCGTTTCCACCAGCCCATGGAAACTCAGCAAGTCACAGCGAGAAGTCACTTGTATAAAGAAAAACTATTTGGGTCCATTATTTAACCCATAAACACCATCGATGCAATTTTCTACAGTGGCTGCACCTTATTATTTATTCTTCACATTGCAGTGATATCCCAGGATGCAATCCAGAATCCCTGCAACTGGAATGAGATAAATCTCGCTTTTGCGGGGCACACAGGCACTACTAGAACAGAATCAGTGCTATAGCATTATAGAATTGCAGCTGTATCTGTTTGCTGAGCACTGCAGGTGTTTTCAAAGCACTGGGGAAAGAAACATTGAGAATCCACACTCTATGCACCAGGCTGCTTAGAGTTAATTTGCTTGTGCTGGTGCTACCTCCTTCTCTTTATGTGTTTTAAATCAGGCTCTGGTGATTCTCAGTGTATGAAATACATAGTAAAATACGCTTGGTGTACACTTTGAGTGTCAGTGTGTGCGTGCTCACACACACACTTCTTTGGAAATAAGCTCTTTCTATTTAGAAGAGGAAGAGAAAATGTTTCCTATTTCAAAAAGCTGATTTGAATGTTGAAGAACGAACCTCTGGGGATATCTGTATCCTCTCACTCTGAGGAGCAAGGAGGTCTGAAGGCACAGTTGTTAAAGAAGACTTTTAGCTGTTGAACAGGATCTGGAAGAGTGAAGGCATAGAATCATAGACTCATAGAATAGTTAGGGTTGAAAACGACCTTAAGATCATCCAGTTCCAACCCCATGCCATGGGCAGGGACACCTTGCTCTAAACCATCTCACCCAAGGCCTCGTCCAACCTGGCCTTGAACACTGCCAGGGATGGAGCATTCACAACTTCCTTGGGCAACCCATTCCAGTGCCTCACCACCCTAACAGGAAAGAATTTCCTCCTTATATCCAATCTAAACTTCCCCTGTTTAAGTTTTACCCATTACCCCTTGTCCTGTCACTACAGTCCCTAATGAAGAGTCCCTCCCCAGCATCCCTATAGGCCCCCTTCAGATACTGGAAGGCTGCTGTTGGCATCTCGATCTCAGGAGGGATTTTATTCTCTCTTCTGCTCCTTTGTGTAACTAATTAAAAATGTAAACACAGATCTTCGAAATACAGGAAAATTAATCTGCAGCTTTTGTCTCCTGGCTACTGCTGGAGCTGTAAGAATATTGACAGCATGGATTTGGTTGGATTTTGGGCGTGAGAGTGGCAGTAGCTCCATGCGCAGCAGCTGCCTGCCCTCCTTCGCTGGAGTTATTCCCCAGGCAGTGTTGCTCCTGGCTTAGGAGCATTCCTTTCATGCCTTAATGATATAGCATAACATCAGAAGGATGTCACAACACCAGAGGGACGTGGAGCTGTTGGAGCAAGGGCAGAGGAGGCCATGGAGATGCTGCGAGGGCTGGAGCAGCTCTGCTCTGGAGCCAGGCTGAGAGAGCTGGGCTGGGGCAGCCTGGAGAAGAGAAGGCTCCTGAAGGGGAGACCTGAGAGCAGCTCCAGTGCCTAAAGGGGCTGCAGGGAACCTGGAGAGGGGCTTGGGACAAGGGCCTGTAGGGACAGGCCAAGGGGAATGGCTTGAACCTGCCCGAGGGGAGACTGAGCTGAGCTCTTAGGCAGAAGCTCTTCCCTGTGAGGGTGCTGAGGCGCTGGCACAGGGTGCCCAGAGAAGCTGTGGCTGCCCCATCCCTGGCAGTGCTCCTGAGCCCATGGATGGCCTCATACAAACCTGTCCTGTGGCTCGTTCCTGGGACACCCCTTCCTCTATCTACATTTTATGGCTTGAGTGCCTCAAGCCATATTTTTCTCTCTCTGATCCAATTCTGATGCAGTGGACAATAGCCTACCTGACAACTAAAGCTGATGCCTTCCCTATTATACTACTTATTTTTGTAACACAAAAAGGGGAGAGAACTTGCTGAATGTTATAGTTGAGGAAATAGATAGGGAAAATGTATTTACAATTCATCTCCATGGTTTCAATTGGTCTTAAATAAGCAGAATAAGAATTGTGCCCAACGCCTGTGAGAGATTAAAATCTCCCACATTGAGTCGCCCCTGTGCCAGAAAGGTTCTGCTGTTACCTGGTGGGTATAACTGGTGGGATTTGGCTGTCCCTGGTACGTGATGCATCCAGGCAAGCAAGTATTAGCCTGGAGATTGCATATTTAAAGATATGAACATGAAACTTGCCTTAGAGCATCAAAGTGGATTAATGTTAATAGAGAAAGCAGGAAGAATAAACTTTGGAGACCTAAGTGGATGACACAAGTGCCAAAGACACTCACTGGAATGCATTTGTCCCTATGCACTTAATAGGAATGTTCAAGGCATAGCTTCAGAGGAGCAAGACTACGCTGGCAGTAAGCAAATCTGAAGATGCTATCCCCGGTTTTGGCCTTGATTCTGTGATGCACGAGATTCATGACCTCAGCCAGTCTTTCCAAGGCAGCTTTTAACTTTAAAGCTATCCCCATGTACTTAAAACCAACGTCTTGTGTGCCCTTGTTCCACCTGGCAGCCCTCGGGTCTCCGGCAGTGTCTTGCATAGAACCAGGCACCTTGTGCTCATTGGAGGCAGTGTCCAGGACACAGGTTTTACTCTTTGATGCTTTAAATGATTTAAAGGTACAAAGAATCTTTAATTCCCTCTGGAAGTGAGCTGAGGCATCGCAGCTGATGCATCTTTAAAGGGCAGCGCTTGAAGCAGTGCTGCAGCTGATACCTCTTTTGCTAAGCAGCAGTGCTGCCGCTCCATGGGGTGGGCAGGAGGAGCGCTTCCATCTCATTTTCCCCCTCAAACACAACATCAATGTGTCAGTTCCCTTCCCGACATTCCATCGTTTTCCTGGAATGCCAAGTTTCAGGGTATTTTCCCAGGAAATCTTCAGTTTCCTTGTGAAAAATTTTGTTTCTTCAGAAGAGCATCCTTCATCAAAAAATAATGTCAACAGGAAAGTGCAAACCTGCTGCAGTCTCACCCATCAGCCTTGGGCGTCATTCCTGTTGGGTGCAGCAGTGGGGTTTACACCTGCAATACTTCAAATATAACTGAAGATGCTTTAGAAAGTGTTTGTGTTGGCCCTGGTGCTTCTCCTGGAATGATGCAATCCCAGGCTGGTTTGTGTTGGGAAGGACCTTAAAGCTCATCCAGTTCCAACCCCTTACCACGGGCAGGGACACCTTCCACTAGAGCAGCTTGCTCCAAGCTCCTGTGTCCAACCTGGTCTAGAAGAATCAGTCTAAGTCCGTCTGGGAATCATAGAATCAAGGTTGGAAAAGACCTTTAAGGAGACTTCTACAGCTGAAGATGAATGGTAAAACCAATAGTAAACACAACAGTAAAACCACCTGCATTTCACCTGCGATCCCCCAAATTTCACCCTTTTTCATGCCGTGATTTCTACTTCTTTTTCCAGGGCCTAACCTCCCCAAGGCTCAAGTCAAAACTGCCTCCCTTGGCTTGGCAGGAAAAGCCAGGTCACCTCTGCTGCCCGTCTCAGTGCCCACAGCCCCAGAGGTTGCAGAAGAGGGACACAAGCAGGCCGAGGACTCCGCAAACGTAAGAGCCATCTGTCAGAGCCAGCGGGCTTGCAGGGCTCGTCACCATCGAGTTCTGTTCTCTAATCCCCAATCTACACATCGATTTCTAGATGACCACCCATCCCTCCTTACCTAGGGTATTACACTGCACACATTACACTAACAGCTGTTAGAACCCTAGTAAAAAGTTGTGGTAGCCAGTAAGACTTTGCCGTTGGCTTTAATGGACTTTGTGATGTGGAGGAGAAGTGCGTGCTTCAATTCTGTGTTAATATTATCCATGTGACAGCTCTCACAGCCTCTCCTCAGCACACTGAGATATCAGGAGAAGAGAAAAGGGGGCGAGAAGTGCCATAAGGGAAGAAAATAATTTTGGCAGGAAAATTTAGTATAGAGTAATACCAGATAATGGTGAGAAAAGTAACACTGAAGGGGTAGGTAAGTGAAACTGAAAGATAGAGTAATTAGAATAATCTTTTCACTCCTATTAAGACTCTGTTAGAGGAGGGACTTGCATGACTCTGAAGATGAAACTGTGCAAAAGAAAATGAATAAGGGGAAAAACGAAATATATTAAGTACATGTTGGGCTCCACGTCTTTTCATCTCCTTGCACAGGACAACTGATTGCCAGGCAGTATTGCAGCGACATGTCCAACATTTTGGTAGTGAATCCTTCGGTGTTTTCAACCTGGCTGAAGACAAAAGATTCTCTTTAGATGTGTATGGAGGGTTTGGGTCTGCTGCTTGATTCATGCAGGACACCAGTGTTGGATTCCTGCTTGTGGCTGTCACCGGCATAGGTATATCCTTCTGCATATAGTCACAGTGGGATTTTAATGTTTTGCTGGTAAAGGGGATGCAGGATGATTAAGAGACATGGAATCTCTTTCTGGAATAGGAACGGGAAAGAAAATCCCCTCCGTTGTAAAATTGCTGGCATAAGGAGTAATTTAACACTAGACATTTAGTAACATGAAGTGCAATTTCAGCTTTCAATACCTTATCACAGCAGCACAATTTAGCTCTCAGAATAGTCTCTGCTCAAGTTCCACAAGTGTGAAGGCAGTTACAGGCAGCAGCAGTGCAGGCAACAAGCTCATCAGGTGGTCAGAATTTGGGGTGAAAGGCTAAAATTTGGAGATCAGTTTTCTTTTAAGCTTGGCTCTGTAGGTGCTTTCTTAAGGTGCCTGCTCCATCTCACCTCAGGGACTGCAGGGCTTATACAGCAGTGCCAGATCTTTTATTGGGCAAAATAAATAAATGGTAATGAAGTAAATAGTATTGGAGCACCCTCAGTGTCTGGAAGCAGGGGATCACTCCTCTTGCTCTTGCCTTGGTCGTGTCTGAGGTCAGTGGTTCCCAAGAAGAGGTGCAGTTTTGCTGCCAACTGTGGGTTTTGCTGCAGATTCCCAGTTGACCGTACCCCAGTTGACCGTACCCCAGAGGACTGCCCAGTTAGGTGCTTCTGAAAACAGTTCCCACTCCTCAGCTCCCACTAAAGGCTATGGTAGAAACTCCCAACCACCAGCAAGGGAAGAGAAATGCAGCTAATTGCTGGATCAGCTGTTGCAACCTGCTCTGAAATACAACATGGTTTATATGAGCATTTTACATCTCTTTTGGGTGCTAAAACTGGTTCTGTTTTGTCGTGTCCCCCCCCAAACATGCATGCATGCAGTGGAAGGGAGGGAGCTGAGACAATGGGGACTCAGAGGATGGCTGTTAACATTTCACACTGTTCTAGCATGGTCACCCCTGGTTTTCAGCTCCTGTGTTGATCCCAGAGAGGCTTTGCTTGCCAACCTGTAAGCATCAAGCCATGGCTGGATGCTCCAGGTCCCTGAGGAGGACATCCTTGTTGGGGGCCCTGGGAGGTCCCTGCGATGGGGCTGTGTCCTTGGCTCTATCCAGGGGTCTCGGTCCCTGTCCCGCCGCTTATGTGTGTGTGTTTGTTCACTTGCAGGTTTATGAGCAGGACGATCTGAGTGAACAGATGGCCAGTTTGGAGGGGCTAATGAAGCAACTCAATGCTATCACAGGCTCAGCCTTCTAACAGCTCTTGATGAGGTGATAATTATCCCGGAGCATTGCAAAGTACCAGGATTTCTCTCATACTACCCACTTACACAACCCCATCACAAATCATCTTGTTGCCGGTATCACTCCTTCAGCGCAAGGAAGATGCCTGCAAATCTCTAAAAGGAATGATTAAAAAGAAAAACAAAGAAGAAGTGAAGAATAATAATGGAGATGCTACAGAACTTCAGATCTGGCATCTAAAGCGATGAAAGCATGAAGGCAAATGACGTTGTCACCATGGGGTCATTAGCTGATGCTACCAGATTGCTCATTTTGATCTACTAGTATTTGTAGAGCTGAAGTTGTCATGACTAACTCATGTTTTACTCCGTAGAGGTTCGTAGCTCTTTGTGTAGATCTAGTCTTACCTCATGCAAGTATGTTTTTAAACATAGACTGTGCCATTAATGAGACAGTGTTGTAGGTCACTCGTTTGGTTTTGGGTTTTTTTTAAATATATGATTACTGACTACAAAAACACCCATAGCAGATGATCACACCACAACACCAAAAATTTGGAAGCTTTCCCAACAGCACAAAATGAAAAGACAAATTACTAATTTCTTTTGTTGTCTCTGTCAGTTATCTCTCACGAGAGGTGGGGATTAGTGAGTGGCTGTAGAACTCAGCCACTTCAGCATTTCCTCTCGTAGTTAATGTTTTATGTACGGAAAAACAGAGAACCAGGAATGTAAAAATCTAAAAAAAAAAAAAAAAAAAGGAAAAAAGGGGAAAAAATAAAAGTCTGAGTTTGCATTGGCGGACTGATGCCAGCCAGCCGGTGTGCACTTGTGAAAGGAGGACGTGATAAGCAATCTTCTCTGACACGCAGTCATTACACGCTTAAGCTTGTAATAAAACATGTCTGCGGATGAGTGGCCTTTGTGCCAGACCATGATGACATTGGGAAGCACTGCTGGGGCCACCCCAAGATGGAGTAGAATGAAAAACAGAGCTGAATTTGCCTCCCTTGCCTTCCTTGCCTTTCTCATCCACTCTGCATCCCGGGATGTCTCTGATGCGATGACCCATCCACCTTGGGTGATGATGGGCAGAGGATGAGGACGCCAATGGCGTGGTGCTTCCCAGAGGCAGGACATGAGCCTGGAGGAAGAACCACAAAGGCTAGTAAATGCCTGATACATTCTTTAGGAGTATTTTCCTGCAAGTGTGGTATTTCCTGGCTGAGATCAGCAGTGCTCCATGAGAACAGCAAGAGAAGAGCAGAGAGCAGCCGGATACCGCGAACCATCCGTAGGGACTCCCTCTCCTTGTCCTAGCGCTTTAGCTGCACATTACAGTGTTTATTGACAACCATAACTGGTTGAATTGGCTAGATTTTGTGTGCATACATTTTACTGCTAAATTTTCGGCTGCATTCAGCATTAATCTCTGTTTATGCAGCTGAATCACCAAAAGGGAACTAATTTGCATATTTATCAGTTAGGAGGCTGCAAAACCCAATAAGAGAGTTTCAGATGAATTATTCCATTCAGCTCTGCCTTTGATTTCAAGCTTGAGTGGGTCATAATTTTAAAAGAGCATGGAAAGGATAGGATCTTTACAACCTAATAGCTCCTTTTATTAGGTGGGTAATTATATCTGAATCTCCGAATAAAATATTTTGAGTAAAATGGCACTGCAACAGAAGTAATAATTCAGATTATTTTCTATGGCCCCTTGTTGGAAGGGAAATCAGATGTCAAGGAGGAATTCAAATGCTTCGTTAGGAACTCCAGTGTGTTTGCAAAAATGCTCCTTTAAAAATGCCCCGTTATTCAATTTGCTAAGATTTTAATGAAATATTTCTCAGGAGTGAGAAAATCTTCTTTGCATGGAAGACTGAGCTTTCCAGTTTGGAAAGATTTGTAGCCAAAAGCCTCTGCTAGAAGTAAAATGCACAAATCTTTCCCGATGAAAAACCAGGCTCTATAAAATCACTACCTCTATTTTGACTAAAAAAAAAAAAAAAGAAAAGAAGACTTTATGTCACTTTTTAATAGCTCCCCTTCCGTATTTGCAGAGATTGACATTTTTTAGATGAGAACATAAGGTCAAATCTGTTTCTCAGTTATCACTTATGAAATAACTTGATTGGCAGCAAGAGAGCTGAGAACAGAAACTGCCCCAACAACTTCAGAGAGCATCACTGCACCTTTTTAAATCACGGAATATTAATCCAGGAGCAAGTGTAAAACAATCCCAAATTGCCTACAGTAAGATGAGCCACAAAGAGGTTTGCAAGTTGGATTTGGCTTGGTTTGGACACAAGGGTTGCAGTGTCCAGGAGCTTTGGCATTGATCAGCCCCCTCACTTTGTTGAGGTGTCAATCTTGGACTCAACACGAAGCCCCTGAAGCCTGCAGGTTGATCTGGCCCTCGTGTGAGTGCGGCCTTTCTTGTGCTGTATGAAACTGACCTGTCTTCGGGCTCATCCTATTTAATTCAATACCAGTCACAGACCAAGGCCAAGGTCAACACCAAAACAAGTGTTCATGTACTCTGCCCACAGGAAGGAACAACTCCATTGTCTCAGCTCAAGCAAGACACAGCATCTCCCCTTCCCCTTTAATAAATAAGAAATTTCAATTTAAGTTCAGCATTTACCAGTAAAACTCAATTATTCCATATAAACACTGATTTGGGGGATTTTTTTTTGTTTGTTTATTTTCCTTCAGACCTCCACTTGACAACCAGGAAAGGGCTTTACCCTTCACCTGCCCTGAGCCACCCGACACTGGTTTTCAGTGTTGCTGTTGTCCTAAGGAGCATTGGAGACATTCCCAGCCTTCATTTGAGGATGATCTTAGTACAATTATTAATTGTACTAAATCAAAAATACCTACCTAATTATTAACCAGACATTTCTTGTAAAATTTCGCCTTATGTGTGGACTACATAACTTGCAAAATTCCAATGTTTTAGTACAAGACTCCCATGCTGTATTTTGCCGATGCTCTATTTATTGGCGGTGAGCTTGGCTGAGATCTTTGTATTTTGACAAATTCCTCAACTGCCAGGGTATTTATAGACTGTGACTGTGTCAGCCATGGACACTCCCAGAAAAATGCAGTGAGAAATCCGTCAATGCGTGACGGGCTTGTGAAGCTCGATGTTACCATGGAAGATCATCAGCTAATCAGTACAACAGGGCTGCCATAAACAGGTGGGGAAATAAAAACAACCACCAAAAATGGATGCATTTATTATAATTTATTTTAATTCTCCGCTCCCTTTTTCTTTTCTTTTTCTTTTCCTTTTTTTCTCCAAGACTTTACAATGGAGAAATATCAATGGTTTAAAAGACTGAGCATTCCCTAGCTCAGCATTTTTGTCTTAGGTACTTACTTCTGGGGAAAATTTCATTCATTCACAGAAGCTGTTTAGTTTTTTGAACGAGGGGCAGATAATCTGCTTGTTGTTCTTGCATATCACCTTGATCATGTCCAAGTTTGGATCTGGACGTCAATACAGCCAAGATCTTGCTGTAGGGTTTGTAATGTCATTTGTCAGTGGGTGAGAAGTTCTGTTTTCCCTATACTGCTGTGGCTGTTTGTACACCCTCATCTATGGGAACTGGTCATTCCCAGTTAAAAGGCAGCCAGAAACTGGGGAAGGACAGAGATAGTCATGCAGCCCTGGAAAGGACTGCCCATTCCAGAGTTTCCCAACAGGCTTGCAAATGCTTTGAAGCTTGGTCTTTGGTCCCCCCGTGGCACCCAGCCAGCACATCCCAGTATGGCCTAGGAAATCTCATCCTGTATGGCTTGGGACATCGCGTGTCCGATGCTGCAACGAGTTTCTGCCGCAGAGTGGCTGTTCTTTACATCAGCACTTCTTGAGTCTCTTCTTTTACTTGCCTTGCTTTTTGTTTGCTCACGGGAGCATCTTTTCACCAACTGCTTCCCAGAACCAGCGCGTTTAGAAGCTGTTTTGGGTAGGACTGCTGCACATCCAGCATCATTCCTTCCCCAGCATTTCCAAAGTACAGATGATTTGATGAGGTTCTGAACCGCTCTCCAGACCACCGGGGCACGTCTGCAGTGCGTGCTCCCTGCTCTGACACCTCCTGTCAAAACACATAGCGCAACCCAGGAAACACCAAGTAAAACAAGGCAGTGCTTGTTCACACCCAGAAGGATGGGGGTGAGTTCACGTTGAGGGTATCCCCGGGTCCTTCCCTACCCTGGGAATCATTAGACATTTCTTCATGCGGTCAGAGCTGATGGTGTAATTCCTGCTGTAGCTCACCAAGGGCCTTTCACCAGGATCCTAGCTAGTGCCTAATGCTGAATGATGTGAACCCATGCTGCTGTGATCAGGCAGGAACCACCTTTAGCATTAGGAGTGGTAAAACCAGGCACAAGCGTTTGCAGGATATGTCAAGTTGCTCGTTAAAACCCTAATGAGATTTAGGTAGGCAAGGGAAGCACTCTGTGGTCAACACCAGTGGGAAGCAGAAGGCGGTGAATTTGCAACCCTTTGTCTCCACTTCTGAGCTGGATACCTGGAATTTGGATGGAAGAAGGGGTTTTTTAAAGTACTCAGCAAAAAGGCATTGAACGCATCCTCATTCTGGTCTTGGCTGGCTGGAGAACACGGTACAGCACCCACAGGCGTGCTCGTCTGCTTGCTGTGTGTGCATTTCCAAGTGCAAGGAAGTAACACCAATAGGAGAAGGGACGATGCTGTTTTTATTCTTGTAAAATAGACTTGGCAATTCCTTACCTTTGTGAATTGTCACCATGTTTGGGATGGGGCGGTTGGGGGGGGGGGGGCGGGTGTACTTTTTATAAGTAATATTTAATTTATTATTTAGAGTGTTTTCTTTTGGATAATTTATGATACAAGGGGTACCTGGCTGGAAACCTAGAGCAGGCTGTTAAAGCTGCAGTGTGCCCACGTCCCCCTGTGCCGGGCTGCAGCCCGGTGTGAGGATCTGGGAGGGTAAGGCAGTGGGACAGTGCCACCGTGTCATCGGTCACCACAACTGTCACCCACACACCCCGCTGCTGCTGGGAGGCGCTGGCTCCAGCCTGCTTATTCAACACCCTGGCACTGGTGAGTTGATGCCATTTAAAGGGCTTTGCAAGGTAATTCAGAAGTACTTAGCATACTAGTGATACGTTTATCGGATAGAAATGGGTTATACTACAGCTTTAACTAGCCTTAGTGGAAAAAAGAAAAGGAAAAAAAAAAATCTTGTTGTTACAGAAGGCCTAAAAGATGGCATTTTGAGCCTTTAAACAGTTTCTTTAAATTGTCAGATTCTAGCATTGTTAACCAAATTAGAATAGTGATTGCAATATTTAAGTGTAAATCTTGTTCTATGAGAAAGGAAACTTGCTTACAGTTTAAAAATAAATGACTGTTTCTACACACAATCTTGTATACTGCTACATGATGAAAAAGGGGTTTTTTTGTAATGCACTGTAGAACAGTCTCATATTCATTTTTTATAGAAATGTTATTCCAATGGTGCATTTTTTTGTTTAACAAATAAAGTTTTGATACAAATCCTCTTTGTCTGACATGTTGTACCACGAGCACTGGGCATTGCTCTAATTGAAGTTGTCCCTGCTCATTGCAGAGGGGTTGGACTAGATGAGCTTTGAAGGTCCCTTCCAAATGAACTATTCCATGAGTCTATGATCCCAAGGCAGCCCCACAGCTCCCACCCCATCACATTCCACCCGGCTCTGCAGCATCTCCTGGCTCCATCCCACTGCACTGCTCCCCCTTCCCAAGCCCTGTGTAAACATGATTTGCAATTTGGGTGTGAATTCAAGGTGAATATCAAGGTACATCCTGGGTGCTGCAGGGGCTGTGTTGGTTTGGGGAAGGCGTTGGAACCCAATGAGTTTTCTGGTGTAGGAAGACATGAAGCTGCTGTGCAAGCATTTGTGCATGAGGTCAGTTTCAGTTGCTTGGGAATCATCCCATATCGGTAGAGAAAAGTCACGCTGGCCTTGGCTTTGGGGCAGCAGCATGCTAAAGCTGTGCTGTGCACCCAGAACTTTACCACCCATCACTTTCCATGTCCCCAAGTTGGGCACAAGAGGTTTCCAAGGTGCTTGTCCAGCTATCACGTTTCACAGAGTACTTTTGGTCTCTCTACAGTGAGGAGCTGGGATTTGGATTCATTTCTGCTCCCACATCATCCCATTGCTCCTTGAAACACTGCTCTTGCTTCCCAGTGACTGCTGAGCATGCCTACCCTGCCTTCCACAGACACCATGGATTAGTAGAAAACTCTCTCAAAGCAGTGTACCACATCACAGCAATGACGTGAGCAGCCTCAAAACGTATCAGTGTTTAGTTCTGAGCACGCAACACATGGATTTTTCACAGCTATCCTGTGAACCTACCCGGCACCCGACTAAAACCCTCCTGTGCCTCGCTTTTCCACATGGGTGCTGAGAACGGGTGGCTTCTCACCTGATCAGAAACAGAGATAAGTCCGTATTCTGAATAAAACACAGAGTTGGAGCGACTCTTTGGACCTGTGTGAGCTCCAAGGACCTGGTGCCCACCACGTCTCACCCTCCATGGTGTCTGCTTCAGCATCACGGCCACACTTGTGCTTTCACACAGGCCTTTTCTTTCTCATCTAACCTGGAGGTAACTTCTCTGACACCTCCTGCTTACAACCCAAAAAGCCAGAAGGGTCGCGAGGCCCCACTTTCACGGTCTGTATCCATACTGGAAATCATGATCAAGCCAGCTTTTGCCCTTCTGCTCCGTGGAAGGTTTCCATCCTCCCTGACCTCACCTTAGGACACCTGCATTACGCTTTGACAGCGTGTGCCCAGCCTCCCACTTATTCTACACCTCTCATGTCTCTTCACAGTGCCAAACTAGAGTCAAGCTCAACAGGGTCTTCTTCCCCCATTGATTCCACCAAGCCCGTTCCCTTGGATGTGGTTTCTCTGGATAGTAGGTAGGGACAGTGGGAATCTCATTCATCCATTCATACATGTCGCTAATTACATGGCGAGGCATTTGGCTACCTTAAGAGAGGGATAACTGGTTTGTGGCAGCCAAGCATTCATAGCGACATTGCTTTTTGATCCTTCGATCTCTTGCTATCATTGTGAAGCAGAGTTCACCAAGCGTTGGATTGTTCACCCACTGATAGGGAACGTGAGCTGGGTTTAGCCCATCGTGAGACAGGTTAGTTTTACCCTACTGATGATGTGTTGTTGCAATAGTTAATCCTGCTCAGTACGAGAGGAACCGCAGGTTCAGAATCCCGGTGCGTGCGCTTGGCTGAGGAGCCACTGGCGCGAGGCTACCATCTGTGGGCTTATGACTGAACGCCTCTAAGTCAGAATCACGCCTAGATGCTTGGTGTTGTGCTGTTGTGACATTGGTTGCTCGAGATTGACCCAGGAGATGTCAGTCTTGGTTGGAAACTTCCTGATTGCCTAAGCAGCCTTTTTGCCAACCAGATTTGCCTATCCCACATGCCCTTGGTCATCGTGCTTGTAGTAAGCATGGGTAAAGCCCTTCCCAAATCTTCACTCAAGAAGCTAAGCCATC